TATGTGGCTGGCGCCTTAGCCACTTGAGCCACAGGCGCCGAGCCAGTCCTCAGTAATTTTTAAGGGTACCAACTAGTCCTGAGGCCAATAATGTTTGAGAATGTTTTATTATTCAATATCATATTCTTGGTCTACAAAGTAGGCTTCCCATCTTCTGCTAAAATAGGCTTGAGGCAGTCACTGGGCTGGGTTGGTGAGCTGGTCAGGGGACAGGTGGGATCAACTCTTCCTTAAGCAGACTTTTAAATGTATTTTTTAGCAATAGCCCACATTCTGGGTGCCAGGAAATAGACTTCACACTGATTTTCCTTCCTGCCAATAATTAGGGTTATTTAAAATTAATTGTTTTGTTAGATCAGACATCTCATCAAATCCTTTATTTTTAATTAAAAAAAAAATGAATCTGCTTTCCGAGACTTCAAACACATGAAAATGTCTTTTTGAAAAGTCTTCAAGCGTATATGACAGACTGGCTATTGTGTATGTTTTAAATTTACTTTTCTGATTCATCAGTGTGGTTTTCTGCAGCTCCTGTCCACTCTTCCTTTGAACTATTGAATTTTTAACCACATGTTGAACCAGAGCTGATTCATTTACTGTCCTGTATATATCCCGTAATAAAGATAATATCTCCCTCTGTGGCAAAGTTTGGGCAGGTTTGCTTGCAGTCCATGACGAAAGATTCGTGTTCCCTAAGCTCAGGCTTCCTCCGCTGTGATGCAAACTCTGTGTATGTGCAGAGTGTACCTGGGCAGCTCCACTTTGCCCTCAATGGCACTTGGGGTCAAGAGGAACCAATGCAAACATGAAGCTCATCCTGTTCACTGTGCTGTGAGAACAAAGTCATTTGTTGTCCAAAAGTCCAGAAGTCTGTCCTCTGTGAGCATCCACAAAACTGTCAGGCTGACTTGGTAGGGTGCAAGTCGGCCCAAGTCTCAGACTGTTCAGTTTGTGACGCCTTTTCTTTTATTTGTATTTAACACTAGCATTCTCTGCTAAATGTAAGGGTCTTTTTTGAGCTACCAGTGAGAAAGAATACATTTTAAAAAGGAATAAAATTATGATTCCTACATATAATAAAATGAAAACATCAAACTTTTATTTAACCATAAATTAAAGAGAAAAGCAGCTAAATATCACAACTGGTTAGAAGGAGAGGTCAAACACAAATTTATATGGAGTAAAGGAATGCCAAAATCCTTTTACAAGTGGACACAAAATGACTTTTTCCATGGAAGGGGGAGGTGACGGAGTGGGCCAAGTAGAGTCTATTGAATCTCCACCAGACAGAATTTATTTGCAAGAATTATTTGAATTTATCCACAAGTTACAGAGCTGTAAAACAACTCCAAGGCAAGAAAAGGCAAAAAATCCATAAAAACAGATAACTTGGAAAGGAATGCTGTAAACAATGCAGTTTTCCATTGGAGACACACAGTAATCATTTTTGCTTATTCAGAAAAGTTCTTTTTTTTCTTTATTTTTTCCCTACAGCAATAAAATGTACTACAAGAATGTTTCCAAGGTTACAATTGATCAAATTTGTGACATACAGATTTTTTTTAAGTAAGCCTAGGCACACGTTCATAAGAAAGATATTGGAAGAGTTTCTAATGATCTGTCCTGAGAAGGCAGTCTGACACTTCAGAAGAAAATGTGCTCAAACTTCATTGAGAGGACGTCCTTATTATTGATTCCCTTTACTGACCAGCAGGTGTCGCCAAGCAGGCATGATCACCTGTTGGCCGGTCCAACCTTTCGGTTTCTCTGGGCCATATTGGAAGAAGAATTGTCTTGGGCCACACATGAAATACTCAAACACTAACGAAAGCTGATGAGAAAAAAAAAATTGATGCATAATTTTCACGATATCCACCGCCACAGATGAAAAAAGTCCCCTCATAATCTGCATGCAATCTGCAGGCTGCACCTGTGAGTTGGACACCACTGGGTGACAAGACATTTCTATTCTTGCCCCTGTTCCAGCACCTGGCATGTAGAAAGCACTCAGCACAATGTTTCTTGAAAGATATTTAATTACTCAGAACACGGGGGTGCTTTTACACCGTAGGCAGCCAAAAATAATATGACATGTCTGAGTGAGATTCTTTAATGCTTTCTGATCATACTAGGAGAAAGGGAGAAAAAAATCCATATTAGAAAGCACTTGATCAATTAAGCAAAAGGAGATATAGTTAGCTGTGAAATCAGATTTAGTAAATATATGCACTGTTTCCATTGCTTATACACAGAGATGTGGCGAGTCACCCTCTTTTTTTTTTTTGCTCAAGTGCCATCAAGTGTGGTTTCCTCCACTCCCACTATCTCCGCAATAATTTCCAGTAATTTTTAACTACTTTGGTGCAATGAGAAACCCATGACAAACTCTTTATAATTTCATGTGATCTACATTAGTATAAAAAGAAAAGTGAAAAAATAGAGGGGCAGTGGCTGCTGGTTAGAAACCTAACTGGAAGGAAGAAGACAGGGAATTAAGAAGCTCAGAAAACCCCAAGAACAGAACTTCCCTGTTCTTCAGATACTTTCCTGGACATCTGCTGGTTTTGCGGGCCCAGGGAACTTTCTCTCTTCTGTTGTTAATGGCACCTTGATTATACTTTGGGAGACAAATCCCTTAGCCCATTCAGTTCCCATGCTCCCCCTTCAGGTGCCAGAGAGAGAAGTACTAAGCCAGGTTGAGCCAACCAGAGGCCTGTTCCCCAGAAATCCTCTTAGAGCATGAAAACCACTGATGTGGCTTCTTGATGTCTCGCTTTCCAGAATCTCACATCTGCCCTGGTTCCTGCTCATCACAGTCTGAATCTTTGTTTTTCCTTCAGGCCTCTAAAGTACCCCATTCTCTTCCAATAGATTCTTCTTTGGCCATATTAGCCACAGTTGGTGTCTGTTGAATGTAGCCAAGGAACGTTGACTGGTGAAATAAGGAAAAGGAACTAGAAGGAAATCTAATTCTATAGTTACTTCTGTAATCTCTGTTGAACTTATTGAAAAGAATTAGGCCCATTAGGATGATGGAGGCTTGCTTGAAGATGACAGATAATTAACATCTACAGACACTATGCTCCAAACATTCTTCTAAATACTCACGTATGCCTTATTTAATCTTCAGAATGACCCAGCTGAAGAGATGTTATTATCTCCATTTTACAGATGAGAAAGTTGATGTGGAGAGGAATTAACTTTTCCTTGTGAAAGTTAATTTCATGTGATCAGATTAATATCTCTCAACATTTGTTCTATAGAATATTCATTTTTCAGTCTGGTATTAGCTTCTTAGAGCTACAATAACAAGGTACTACAACCTGGGGGAATTAAAACAAAAATTTTAATTTATTGTCTTGCAGTTCTAGAGGCTAGAAGTCTGAAATCAAGATGCTGGCCGGGCCATGCTCTCTGTGATGGCCCTAAGGGAGAATCCTTGCTTGCCTCTTGCAGCTTCTGGTACTTGCTGGCCAGCAATCCTTGGCATTCCTTGGCTTGTAAATGCATCACTCCAATCTCTGCTTCTGTCATCTCATGACCGTTTTCTGTGTGTCTCTCTCCTTTTCTTAGAAGAACACCAGTTATACTGGATTAAGGGCCCACCCATTCCAGTGTGACCTCATCTTAACTAATTATACCTGCAACAACCCTATTTCCAAATAAGGTCACATTCTGAAGTACTAGGGGTTAGGACATAATTCAATACACAACAAAACTGTTAACAGAAGATCTTCTTAAAACAGGTATAATGAACACTATTTGGGTAATGGGCATACTAGTAGCTCTGATTTACACATGATAAAAACTATACATGTAGCAAAAACATTTTAACCCCTTTAAGATTTTGAAGTAAAGAACATTTGTGGAAATTCTTCAAAAAAGAATTCTGTCAAATGAGTTTGGGAAGTGTCATTATGGATTCTTTGCTGTAGCACCTGGTAGAGAGGAAGATACCTTTAATTTGTTAATATGTGAGAGGAGCTGCCAAGCTGGGACTTCTATATAGTTTCTCAACAACATGTTTGGTGATGGATTTCTTTTCAAAAGCCTCCTGTGAATTTTGTGTTCAATGTGGAATACCATCCTCATGCCCAGTGCGATGCAGTGGCTGGCTAGTGTAGTCCTTCCCTCATCTTCTGGTTTCATCTCTTACCTGTGGTCCCACCCTGAACATCTGAACCCAAGTTTCCTTTTCTCTAAGATAAAGGACAGTTATATCCTTTCCCTATGAGTTTCTTGTGATGATTTAATTTAAATTAGGTAGGCTGAAAAACACTGGGTCCAGTGCCTGGCATCTAAAGAAAAGAAATAGGCATTCATTTCGTTACGCTAACCACACGGTTCTGAATTTCTTGGCATTTTTATTAGTCACTTCCCAGATCTCAAGAATAATCCCTGAATAGGATAATTTCCATCAGTAAGGTTTTCTTGTTCATTTTCCTCTCCCTTTCATCAGTTTTTTTTTCTCTTTAGGAGAATGATTTTCTTTATGGTAATAAAATTTACCTTGGGTAAATATTCAACCCAGCTATGCTTTTAAGAAGCCTCCACCATTAGCCAAGAATGGTCTGTTTAGCTCTGCAGTTCCTTATTCTGATCATGCACCCCAGTGAGGGGAAGAGGATGTGATCATGAGATCACAGCAGAGGGGAAATTGTGAAAGAGACCCACTGTAGAAAAGGCAGCCCACAAGCACCCCGGCTCTCAGAGGAGGCTAAGCGGCTGAGCGGCTGAGACGACTTGTCTGAGAGTGGACCTGTCTGTCTGTCCATCCGACATGGAACCAAAGAAGATCAGGGAAGGCTACCTTGTGAAGAGGGTGAGTAGAATTGCCACTTACAAGGCTGTATGTAACTGGAAGATTGTTGTGCAGCTTTTTGCTCTACCTGTTCATTTTGGGAATGTTTCATGCTAAACCTATTGGGTTGAAAAGGGAGAGAATGGAAGCACATAAAATGTACATATTTCAGTAGAGGGTCTTGAAGAGACTGCAGGTGAATTAATTCTGTTCAGGTTTCATCACAGGACAAGTCTGAGAATTGCAGCTTCAGGGTCTGGAAGGTGGGACCCTAAGCAAACTCCCTCAAGATTTAGAACATTCTTTTCAAGGATATTTGAACCTCCTCTCCCCACCACACACACATGTTCTGCTGAAAGACTCAGTCTTGTGCAATAGAGTTTACTTGCAGAGACTCTCATTTGTTGTTTAATTTTGCCTACCCCTTGGTGTTTTTTTTTTTTTTTTTGGAGGGGGAGAAAAAATAAAGTGATCAAAGATGAGTTGATATAATGATACAGTAATTAGAGCTTATTTCTTGGGCCATCTTCTTAGAATTGATGCATTAAAAATCTTATCTTTTGTACTGGGCTGAATGAAATCTCTTCACTCATAATTCTTAGTTAATTTATATAACATGCCATCAAGGTAGTACATGCAATATTTTAAAAATTAGGAAATGGAGACTCAAGTTTACTCAAGCATGCTTAGTCACACTGGTGTTGCATCAGGAAAATTGAATTTTGTTAGCACTGTCAGTCTTTTTTCTGCTGCTGGGTGTGGGCTGAGTTGTTGTGAAATTCCCCAGAATAGTGAATTCACACTTGGGGCCTGCTGGCATCCTGTGGGCAACGCCTAGCTACACAAGTGTGCTCACATCTGTAAGCTCAGTGTTTCAGAAGTGACCTGAATTTAGTACATTCCTTTGGCTGTCACTTAATGTGACTTTGTTTGGGGCCATTCACTTGGGGCTAACTAGCACACACTGGTAGCTAATTCCATTTTTTTTTTTTCAAGCTGAAAGACTAAGGTCATCTGGCCTAACTCCCTCATTTGCAGAAGAGGAGACAGACCCATGGCTGTGACATAGCTGGGACCAGAAATCCACTCTCTAACTCCTATATGGTACTAACCTGTTGTTCGGTACCCTTCTGTTTTCTTAAATATCACTTAAACTAAGTTAGGGTTTATAATGTATTTGTGGTGGTGAGAGTTATGTGTCGGCACTGGAGAATAAATGAATACTCAGTGGATAATCTCTCTAGCTGGACATCCTTTGAAACATCCCTTTGAAAAGGCACATATATGCGCAGAGGTGCATGTAGATTGCTTGCAATAGGTACCCATATGCTCTCCAAGAACCAACAATAATTAAAATTGACTTATTTCTATCTTGATCACTTGGGCTAGTATCTTGAGAAGCAAGGAAATGGAATATTTCTGCAAGATTTTTTTGCTTTTAAAAATTTTTTTAAATTAAAAACATCTTACAATGAATATTGCTGTTATAAAGGTTATATCCTCATATTTTAAATGTTCAGAATTATAAAGACATGAAGACTAAATCTCTAATAAGTAAGTCTCTCTCACTACAACATGGGGATGATGGATTCAGGATTGTAAAGCACATCGGACTTAAATTAACAAATAGTTTTCAGTAAGTGAGCATGAAAGTATCTGGAAGAAAATGTAGTGAAATTTCATGCTGATAGTTCTACAATCTGTATCTTCCTTAATTTTTGTGCTTATAATTGATATCTTCCATAATTTTTGCATTTTTCTCTGGGACCTTTTGAAGACTCTCTAATGTAATGCATTAACACTCTCAAATTTGACATCTGTAACTAATGTGTAGTTCAGAAATACTCTCTTGGTCAGCTGCAGAACTACACCTGAAACCAGACTTCCCCGATAAGGCATTAAAGTTCTTAACTTCTTTAGACATTAAGTTTCTTACAGTTATCCCATGTGTGGGTTAAAAAACCATATATGTTGGAAATCTAGCACATAGTAGGAGCTACATCAGCTACAGAAGACACCGATTCTTTGCATCAACATATACTTCAGGGAACAGTGGATCTTGTCCTAGTTGCTGTTGGGGACACGTGTTGGTTACTGGGTTGACAAATTAATCATGGAGAAAGAGCCATAAAAATCTTTCTCTGACAAGACTGTTAAGAGTCTTGGTTGTAGTTATTGATATTAAAGCCTGACAAGCAATAATAGATGATCTTTCCTCCTTCTCTTACACAGCTTCAGATAACTGGGTTGTATTAAATAACATCTTTCTCTTATGTCTTCTTTTATGAAATAATTTTATTGGAGATAGATATTTTCGGAAGAAAAAAATACAACATTGGGAAATGCTGGGGCAGTTTTGTTTTTGTTTTTTTGAGACAGAGTCTCAAGCTATCACCCTGGGTAGAGTGCTGTGGCATCATAGCTCACAGCAACCTCCAACTCTTGGGATCAAGCGATTCTCTTGCCTCAGTATTTCTATTTTCAGTAGAGATAGGATCTTGCTTTTGCTCAGGTACTGGTGCAATTTTGTCAAGTCAGAAATCTTGGGGTCAGCAGTCAATGGCGCTAACTGTAAAATGCTTCTGCCATTTCTCTGTGCAAGATTAGTTGTCCATTTCACAACTCAGATTTCCCTTTTTCTTCCAGACAAGATCTTTAAATGAAGATGATGATTAAAAGGAGGGAGGGGAAGTTACATGATTCTGTCATTTTCCAACTTTGTCATTCCACATACCACCCAGGTTTCCCTGCCTCAGTCTTGCCAGTTTTAATGCACAAGAAAGCACTTGGAGCCAAGCACAAAGCAGCCAGGTGCTGTGCACACACGAGTGCACTTAGTCCTGGCCACCCTGTGTGATCCTCACCCTGCAGGCAAGAACACTCAGGCTCAGAGAGAATAAGTGACTTCCCACAGTCAGACTGCTGGTGAGAGGGGACTTGGGATTGAAACCCAGGCCTGCCTAACAGCACAGCCCACCCCACCTTTATCCCAGATGACGTTCAGAAAGGCAGGTTTGCCCAAGCCAGCAAAAGAGAACTCAGATGAACTCCTCAGTGTCAGAGTCGGGCCTGGACCAACTGTATTATGGGCGAGTCTGGGTTTAGTAACCTCAGCCTCCCTTTCTCTCTGATTAGGGTGTTACTTTCCAGGCAATAAACACACTGGCAGGTCCTTGAACACATTCTACTGAATTGGCTATGTTTATCACCATGGTTTAAGAAGAGATAGAGGAGCAAATTGTCATAGATAACCTTGACTCCTCCAATTCCTTTTTCAAACTAATCTCATTCCAAGAGGTTTCTGGAGCAAGATGTCACTTCCATACCAACCAACCCAGCAGCACTAATTCAAAGAAAGGCGTAGGGACTGCAATGTCCTGTGAGGCTGGGAGAAGGCACAGGAACTGGGGCGGTGGAAAGAGGACACGTGGCTGGAGAAAAGGACTGTAGAAAGCGGTGGTAGAAGGGGAAAGCCTGGGGCTAAAGGGGAGTGGAGAGGCGGCTGTCCTGGCCCAGGATTATTTCCTGCAGCTACCTTATCTCCAGGACAGGATGAAATAATCTCCAGCGATTTGCACCGACCGAAGCATCATCATCATCATCATCATCATAGCTGCATATGTGGTGTTTACACCGCAGCAGGGTCAGTTGTGAGCATTTAATGCAGTTATATAACATACTTATAATGACCCTACAAAATGGGTACAAGTATTATCTTTACCAGTGAGGAAATTGAGGTACAGAGAGGCCGAGGGCCCTGTTCAGGGTCACACAGATAGTAAGTGGCAAAACTAATTTGAAGCTCAGCAGTCTGGCCCCAGCATTGCACAGTGCCCAGCCACAATCCATGTGGCCCTCATGTGCTCGTGTTACAGTGTCTTCCTCTTCCAAAGCACTGTTGCTGTGATGGGTGGTACCCAGGAAATTCTCAGACCAGAATGACCCCGCAGTGTTGCCTACGAAACTGTCCTCTTGCCTATCCATATAGTTACCATTTCTCCACTACCTACTACATGCTAGCTGCCACGCTAAGCCCTTTAAGTACATGATCTCGTTTAATCTTTACAACAATGGGAAGTGGGTACTTTGTTACCTTCATTTCACAGGTGAGGACACCAATGGTTGGAAAAATTAAGTAACTTGCCTAAGGTCACAGAACCTGGAAGAAGCAAAGTAGAGATTTAAACCTAAACCTAAAACTCCATAAATTATGCTGGTGAGCACTCTGTGCCATTTCTGTGTTGCTTACTTAATATGTTTTTATTGAAAAATTGTCCAACCTGAAAGAGTTTAGTTATATAAGAAATATGCCTCAGCTACTAATAGACTGGTCCCCTTGCCTTCCATGAGTTACATAGGCACAAAACAACTATTTGTTTGGGATGTTATGTAGGTGATTTTATGAATCAGTTTGGAAAACTGGAAGATATGACTTACAATGCAGCCGAGATACGGCCTTACTTGAATGCAACATCAACTTAAAATAACATGGCCCAGGGGTGTGGGAAAACAGGTAGTAGTAACTTACAGTTCCGCTTTCGTCAGATACGTAGTTTTGATCATAATGTAATTTTCCTTTGAAGTCCAGTTGTACGTCAGCATGTGAAGAGAGAAGTTCAGGGAAAGAGGAAGTTAAAAGTGATGTCTTCACTTTGTGGAATGTGTCTGGGAGGGCTCTAAGCACAAATATCCAATTACCCCAACTCTTAGCCCTTGGTTGTGGTGTCTTTCAGTGAAACGGGACATACACAAGAAAGGCACACTCCAATTGGTACATTGGTTACGCTGACTTGGAGGTCACTCTCTTCCCTGGTAGTATGAACTATTTGAGAGTGGAGGCATGATCTTGTTTCTTTTTTTTTTTTTTTTTTTTTGCAGTTTTTGGCTGGGGCTGGGTTTGAACCTGCTACCTCCACTTTATGGGGCTGGCGCCCTACTTCTTTGAGCCACAGGTGCCACCCTGGATCTTGTTCATTTTTATGCCCCCGGCACCCAGACCAACTTTTGAAGCATAGCAGCTG